CCCCAAAACCCCAAAACCCCAGAGAATTGTATTTGTCTAAAATAAATCTTAATCAAATAATTAATTCTAATAATCTAATAATTATAATTAAAATAATAAATTGTAACGTATTGATGTTTAAAAAAGTAAAATGGAATAATTCTCTATTGAAATAGAGCAAGATCAATGAAGGTTTTGGAATTAAAGTAAAGATTCCATTTCAAATTATAACAAAGTAATTACTTTGGTTTAAAAAGAAGTAAATAGAATAGTCAAAGACACTTTAATTAAATAGAAAAAACACACTTATTACACATAATAGCCAAAGATACGACATAGGGAAACTATGTTTCTAAAATTTGAACTTTCAAGAATGAAATGTTAATCGATAGAATACAAGTAATCTATTACTATACAATACTAATGTCTTAACGACTATTAATGGGACTAGAAGGTTTTCAACATTTTAATCCAATGAAAATTTGAATAATTTGAGAGCACTATAAAAGTACATTCTTAACGAGTTTGATTACATAAAGCAAAAATATGAATAATTTGGAACTTAAATTGATAGATAGTTAATTCTCTAGATGCAGGAATAATTATTTTCATGTGAGAGAAGTTTGGGCTTAGATTATTCTTAAAACCTTTCAAAGAATTAAATAATTTCTCAAGCAGAAAGAATGCTTGATAGACTTAATAAAGCTTAATTAACTGATTTTTAAGAAAAAGAGAATATAAGAAAATTAATATAATTATCTTCGAACATTCTAGCAGATGATGTAAGAAGCGACTTATATTATTTAGTTGAGAAGATAGTAATAAGCGACATAGTCCTTTTAAATCACTTCACAAGTAATTAGAAGCTGTATTTGAATTTGCTTGAGAAAATTGCTTAAATTGGAACTTACCAATTTGAATTTGGTGGTTAAAACATTGAAACTCCAAAGACTATGGAAAAGAATGTAATAGAAGCTGATCTGAATACTAGAAAGACTTCGAGAGAAGTATCTATTAAAAGAAGAAAGCTGAGAACTCAAGTATTAGATGAATTCCCAGGCTTAGTAAGATATGGTAATAGAAATGAAATAAACTCTAATTCCATCGAATATCACACAACATTTTATAAAATGAGGTAAGAGGAAGTTGAGATACTTTATGAAATGCAGGAAAAATTAGAAGAACTTGTCAAAGACTATGAAAGAAAGTTATATATTTCTAATACCAAACAAGAATCATAGCCTAATAAAACATATCTATTTAATTGCTTTGAATTACTAGAAGCAAGGAGAATATTGAACTAAAAAAAGCTCATTAAACTTACTAAAAAAATTCTATAGAAAAACAATTTCCTGCAGTTTCAAGCACCAAATTAAAAAGACAATCAAAAACTTAGAGAAATCTAGCTATCATACTGCACTCTTATGGACAAAAGAAAGCATCTCATATATTTGTTCATATTAAATACCATCGAGTTTAGTCCTCTTCTGACAGAGTATTACTCCCAGAATAAGAACGAAATACTAGATATGCTTTATATTATCAATAGCAATATAAATTTTGAGGAATTTGATATTTGGAGAGATATGAGATGGCAAAGATTGAGGCATAATTTTATCATGGAAATTTTTAATTTATCTGGAGATGGTTTCAAAGCTGGAGTCTTATTTTTAGTTATATATTTTGGTATGATATTAAGTTATTTATTATTTTTAGGTATCGCTTTGGTAATAGTTTTATCAGATAAATAAAATCAAAGAGATGCTCTAGAAAAGGAGAGACAAGAGATGGAAAATATGAAAAATGTGGAGTTAAATAAATAAGTTAAACAATAAGATTGAAAAAGTTATTGATGTGATTCGCATAAACATCCTCAGAGTATGAAGAAGTGATGAATCAGTAGTGAAAATGCCGTAATTTTTATTGAGATAAGATTGATAATCAATAAGATGTTTAATCATAATTATATTGCTATTTGATTTTGTTTCATTTTATTTCATTTAATTAAAAATTTCATGATTCTCGTGAAATTGGAGTGTATGGGGTTTTGGGGTTTTGGGG